CACTGCCGTGTGTGTATCCTGTCGCAAAATGCGGCGAAAAGTCCTAAACGACGGTAATAATGTGATTAAGGTGTTTACATGTCTATACTGCACTTCAGTAATGCAGCTAAAGTAGGAATACTCCACGTGTCTTAATTCGATTAGTGTTTACTTCGATTATGACTTTAGCTGGATTAAGGTAATCAAAAATCTCTGTTTACATGGTAGATTCTTAATCAGAGTATTGTCTTAATCGTATTCAAATCGGAGTATTGTTGTCCATATAAACGTACTGATAGACTCGGTGTGGATACGATCTCTGCACTGCATTAAAAAGTAATGCAATTTATAAACTTTAGTGATGATGTGACACTGCCTCAATTGTGCAAGTGACAATTCCTGTGTCAACTGTGCAGCGTGCAGCTCGCTTACGGTGCGTTTCCACTACAGCGTCAAATCTGCGCTCAGTGCCGCTGGCAACGCTACAACGCCACTGCTTTGGGGCGTGTCAAATTTAGGGCAGAGCACGCCTCTGAAAAACAACCTGTTTACGTTTCATCTTCTTCCTTTCACAGCGATTGGTTGTCGCCCAGCGTTTTTCGCTCGACATTTGCATAAAGTCAAGCAATGCCCAATCTTTTTGATGCTCTCAGCCGCTGTCAATGCTTTCTCCGTGCCGCTTTCAATCCCATAGAGAGCGTTTAGAGCGTTTAAGCTCAACTTCCATAGGAATTAATTGAAAACGCTCGCTCCGCTGCGCTCGCGTGGAAACGCTGGAAACGCACCATTATAGATAGATGCTATGTGGTGATTTGAAGCCATTTGCGTATTTTGAGAGAGAAAGAGAGAGCGCACGCGATGATTCACTCATGCTGTTTGTGAACTTACGTCTCACACAAGGTTTTCAAATTACTTTATAAGTTATTTAATGAAGAAATTATAATTATTTTAACTGCACCAGACTGAGACGGTGACGGTGCATGTCGTGCCAAACCTCTCACAGCAGCGTCATCAGCTTGAGATCGTTTTTTTTTTAGATCGGCCTTTTTAGAGACCGCCAATCAATCATCCCAACGTGATTATCGGCTGATAGTGATCGGTAGCCGATCAATCGGCGCACCCTAAATATGGTTCCCCTTCAGGAATTCGAGCTGCGTCGAAACGCTACGGGAACGCCTCCAGCGTGACCACGCTCTGAATCACATTTGTAATCAGTCCAATGGATGGGCGAGACGTCACGGGCGGGGTGACGTAGCGACCAGGAAGCATAAAAGCACGTGCGGTGAAACCGGCGTCAGCTTTCTGTCATTCAGCAAGCGCTCTGTGTGTGTGTCAGTCTGATATCTGTTTGTGAATCTTATTTAGTGTTGTTTGTCTCACGAAATCTCAAGACAAAACCAGACACCTAAGGCGAGGGCAGGTAGCGTTCAGTCTGTGTGTTCCTCCCTGCCCGCGTTACTTCGTTCCTCGCGGTGCCGGCCCCGCTTTCGCCGAGGCGGAGCAGCGGATTTGCTCGTGGGTTTCGCATATGGATCCAGTGGAGGGAATGTAGACGGCCGTGTCCCTATCTACTTTCTTAACCACCAGATCTGGCGCCTGCTCTCGGGGTTTCAGAAGCCCGTGCTGCGGTACGTCTAAAAAAATAAATTTTCGAGTGAGAGCACGAGTTTACCTCTCTTCCTCTGAGGAGGCTGAGGTGGTCAGCAGGGGCTGCTTGGCGGGAGCAGTCCCAACCTACCGTGCTCCAGCCCCTCATTCTGGGGGCCTCACTTCTCGTACTCCGCAGAGTCTAGAGTCAGAGTGGCGCTCCCAGGTGGTCACGCTGGAGGCGTTCCTGTAGCGTTTTGACGCAGCGTCTCATTCCCTTCGGGGAACCATGGTTATATACGTAACCTGGAGACGTTTTGTGTAATATAGCCAGAGTCTGGTTCTGATGGTTGGAGAAAGAGTGTACTCTCCCATTGTCTGTCCAAATCTAGCCAATCACCCCAATCACGATTGTAGTCTTTTGCATGACCTGAACTGACCAATGTTTAAGCACTTTTTTAAATTCATTATCCTGCATTTCTGCCAAATACTGTACAATATGATTCTATTGGCCATGGAGACTCACTTGTTTGAAGAATTTTATGGAAATTGATAAATGGGGCAGTGTAGTCTATTTCTATTGAATAATGCATATGGGCTGAAGTTGCATACAGGTAGAGATAAAAAGCTCAGCATTGTGTGGTCTAAGTACAGGCCGTGCATGAAAACTCAGATTGCTATTGCAGATCCCTTTCTTTTGCTTTGTTCTATTTATCAAATACAGGTACCATATATTTAATAAATTAATGCAATCCTTAACCTGGATCCATTGGTCCTCAGAGGTTTCATTTTATGCTCAATAACTTATTTGAGGTATCAAATTAGTCCTGCTGTCACAGCAAACACCAGAGATCACAGATTCATAGTTTATCTATAGCTAAATGCATCATTCATCATTTGCCATGAGAAAATATTGACAGCAAACCTTGCTATCCATCAGAGCAGACAGCTCACAATATTGCCATCCACCCCCGTCCCATTATCATCTTAGAACAAGAAGAGCCACTTCTGATTACCCAAATGATCTATTACCACTGCAATAAGAGGCAATTCTTTATTGATGTACAGAATGCAGTGATCACCTTGTCTACAGGATTTGCCATACTGTAGATCTGACGACTTGTTCAGGGATGGTTTGATATACACAGAAGTGGATGGAAAAAATTAAACTGTTAGACGGTACATAAAGTGTATAGAGTGAGGGACAACTGGAGCAAGTTATTGCTTCGTTTGAAGTCAAATCATGGCAAGAATAAAGAGACTTGGTTAAGTTAATGTGGGAGTTGGAGAGGAGCCAAGGAAGTACATCCAGGTGACAAATAACAAGTATCTCTGCTGGAGAGGCTGCGGGCAGCCATTATTCCTCCTGACAGGGCACTTCCTGAGGGCATAGACTTGTTTTAATGCTCTGTATGAAGCTACAGCTGTAACGTAGTGGGTCTTAAACCTACATGGACAAATTTCAATGACAATTTATCTTTGTCAGTGGCGTATCTTAACATACATGCTAGTCTGCATGGGGGTTCTCTTTACAATTAATTTTTTTTATTTTTGGGAATTATATATTTCTAAATGAAATATGTCTATTTATATAAACTAAAAAATTTTATACATTGCTTTGCTATAGGTATTTAATATTAATTTATTTTTCTTTTCTTTTCTGTTTTTTTTTTCTTTCTTCCCCCTAAGCCATATTAGGTCACATCCAAGACTTAGATTTTAAAAAAAAAATCTAAATGAAATATGTCTATTTATATAAACTAAAAAATTTTATACATTGCTTTGCTATAGGTATTTAATATTAATTTATTTTTCTTTTCTTTTCTGTTTTTTTTTTTCTTTCTTCCCCCTAAGCCATATTAGGTCACATCCAAGACTTAGATTAAAAAAAATAATAATAATCTGTGGCCAGGGGTTTTCGGCTTTGGTGTAATTTGTCAAAATAGCTTCTAAAGAAATCTATTTTTGAATTGAAAAACCAGGGCGCAAGACATCCCATGTGCTAAGGCCAAGCTTTTGCTAGTAAGAACATTAAGACATTTTCGGAGGTGAAGCGTGTTCAAAATATCCAACCATTCCCTGCCAGCATCCAGAGGCATATCCTAGAAGCAAATGGAATGGCACAAAGCCTCACAGTTAAAAAGTTCACTCTCCCTTTTTTCCCTAGGAGAACACTATGGATTGCTACTCTGCAAAAGTCTGTGTGTAAACTGGACACCTGGAAGGGATTAGTTAATGATCACTGGAGTCAGATCAAACACATAGCAACTGGTTCAAGATGGGCCGTCTGCTATCGATCATCCTTCTTTTACTTTACAGTGAAAACAATTTCAGTTGTTTGTGTATAGTGTCAGAATAAAGTCATTCCTCTTTTATGTCAACATATTAAATAGTGTGACCATTTGTGCTCATGCAGGGGTTCTTTAAACCAAAGCATCAGAAATCAAAGCAAAGCAGAAGACAAAGAAGACAAAAACAGACCCCCTATCCAATCTCCGCCCCCCCATCGCCCTACCAACCACAACACACACAGCATCTCGTACAGTGTCACACAAATCTGGGAAGCTGTCAAAGCTCCGAGAAGATAAATGTCCTTTATTGTCTGCAGGCAAAGCAGAGGACACAATCAGTCATGATTAAATGTTTAGAAAGCTTAAGGAAATGGCCCGTTAAAAATAATTTCCAGACCGTTTTACACATGCACTTCGTTAAGTGGTGTCCAGAGCTGAGCGTCTTCGCTTGACCTTACTTGATCTGCTTGATCTTTGAAGCTATACAAAACAAAACAAAAAAGTGCCTGACACATGACTTAATTTAACAACAAAATGATCTTGAACTGCATGAATACAGTTGAAAAGTGAAACAATACCCACACTGAAAACTAAATATTGAAATGGTATATTAATTACATTTTCCATTATATCATATAAATAAGACTGTTTTTTAAAGGAATTTCGCAATGCTGCATTTATTGAGACACCTTATGACACCTTATTGAAGTCTAACTCTTAAAAATGCACCTTTAGACCCCTGACTCTGTTTTTAAACACAAGAACGTGTCCTTTTGGAACGGCCCCCGCGCTTTTGAAATCAAAATGTGATGGAGTCTTCATAGCAGGTGCAGAGTTTAAATTCAAGAGAATAAGCTTGAATTAATTATTTGCTTCTAGTGCCACCAAATCATAGGTCAGTTCTGCATCATCAGAGCAATCGGACCATAAGATGTTCTCTTTTTCTTTTTTTTGCTCTATTCCTCTATCTCCCTTCCCATCTCTGCTACTCTCGCTTTGTTTTGAAGCCTTTTCTCTCCAATTATCCCATTAGCTTTTGAATAGAATCATTGCCAGTAAAGGGCGACATATTATGGACAATTTCTGCAAACATTCACAGCCTTTTCTAGCTTTTACCAACCTAGCAATCAACCTCAAATATTTTAGTTTTATGGCAATCTAAGAACCAATGCCTTTTTAAGAGTGGAACAATGGATTAGAATTATCTTTAACATAGCCTGTATGTAAATACTTGTTTATTGTAATATTGTATCATATACTACAATTTTAGGACAGAAAGATAAAGGCTACGCTCATTACTTATAGACCACTGAATTCTAATGAAATGCTGGATAAGTAGCCTTCTGCTCTGAGTGAAAGTACAAATTGTTTTAACCTCAGAAAGAAAAAAGGGTGAATGACAGCGTGAATACAGAAATGAGCTCATGGCCCCTGCTAATGGGAGATATATTTGTCTTCAGTGGAATGGAAGTGAGAAAAGGAATGTCACAATGGCTACCCTGTCACATTGCTATCAGCAGATTAGTCTGATGGCTTGTGGTCACTTTGTCTGATCCCAGCCAGCTGATGTCTAATGACCTGTATCAAAAGCTTTTTAAAGTTCTATTGAATAAGGGTGGTCGTTTTATCAGACATTTCAATAGGACTTCATAATATCTTCACTATGTGATATTGGAGTAGTCATCTATAGAAAGAAAAAGTGTTTAGTGTGCAAATGTTCGTAAGTAAAAACCCATCTCATAGAATTAGGCGACTCCAACCCAAACCCCCATCCTAATCCCAACCTCATCTGTAACCCTTTTGAAAGCAACATCAAAAATGAATTACTTTGTTGGGGGAGATGACTAGATATTTCTCTTTTTAGGTTGCTGATAATCCGATTGTTAGCTAGAGAGAGAAAAGGAAAAGCTAAAGAAGAGATACTGGGAAAATGAAGATTCATAACAGATTTAATATAACAGCACTTCAGACATTTCCTGGACTGTCAAATGGAAGTTACATTGGAAAGTTGTAGAGACTCTGTAAGTATGGATGGGTTTATTGTTTTGGGGGCCACCAAACTCAAATGCATTTAAACTGTATGTCTTTCAGTTCTTTTTCGAATAATATTTTCCCATATATTCTTCAACTTCAGATTAAATTATTCAAACACTGAATAAAGCCATTTAGAGCTAATTAGTCATTAGTTGTTCAGTGGATTTGCAGACATCTCATACAGTTTAATGTGCCTGAATAAAAAATCCTTTTTAATTATGGATCAGAGCTTTTTATTTAATTTTTAAAAGTACAGTTCAGTTCTAATTTATCTTTCCTTTCATGAAGTTTTCTTTCCTCTACGGGTCTTCTGCACAAGTGAAAATAAATCATGATTTTCAAATGATAAACGTTATATATGACAAAGGAGTTCCAGATCCAGTTGTAATATTTGTGTGATAAATCAGTTGCTTTCTCAATTGCCCCTACATACTCTTTGGAAAATATACAATAGCCAGTGAGAGCTCAGTTTTTCTCTGAGGGCAGATCAAGTAGATTAAAAAAATTCATATGGATTTTTTTTTTTTGTAATAAATCAAGAAACTTCAGTACACACAGCATTTTTTAAATGAATCCCTTTAATTCAATTAAAGAACATTAAACTTTTGAATCATGAAACTCATTGTGTTTTCTATGACTTGACACGTTGAAACTTGTGCAGTACATCAACATGAAAGCTTGAATTTGAGCTAAACTATGCTTTGAAACTTTATTTCATCATATCAGAAAAAAAGAAGAAAAAAAACTAATACTACCTTCTAAACAAATTATGATAGTTGGAAAGAAATGTTTTCGATTGTCTTTAAAAAAATATTTAAAAGTAGTATAACTCTGGTTTAAAAGTACCCAATTGATGTATTAATTGTCAGCCATATTCATTCATTCAATCATTCATTCAGTGTTTTGCATGATCTCATTGGTATTCTGTATGTATTTTATACTTGTTATGCTTTGATGATAAAACATTTCCATGCATATTGTGTAATGGAACAGTGAAATAATAATGTGGTGGTTTTTTTTCTTCTTCTTCTTTTTTAAAACAGTTGTTCCTAAAAAAATATTCCAAATGTGTCCAGTGACTGTTTCTTGCTTGTCAAGTCTTCTCTCTCATCAAGCCAAGGGTTAAATTCCGTGCACCCCTCAAGGCTGGATATATCTGCATGCCTCGTGTGAATAGATTCAGCTCTAAATTGGTCAGAGTATTAAAACTGAGACCCACCTTAACAAATGTATAAATTATTGATAGTCTT